ATTATTCACCAACAGTAACCGGCAGGTCGTCATTATCTCCGATGGCAACATTCGGTGGAATCATCATAGGAAACGGAGATGGTGCCGCCTGCTGCATCCTCATCAGATGGGGAACTGGAACACAATTTCAACAAAAATCCCTCTTGCATACGAGCATCACCGAGAAACGCGACAGGAATATTCGCCACGCTATAAAGCCTACGCAACTCCGGCTGTTATAAAAGCCTCACGTTTTGCATAAAAGGTGCGAGTTCAAGATAAACTAATTATAAATTTATTCAGGATTCTGTGGGCGTGTATACTCTTGAAAGCGGGGCTGATCCCCCACAGCAGGCTTTTGCGTGAACGCAATCGCAGGAAAACCCGAGGCCGAAACTCACTGTTCACGGGATTAATTATCCCTAGCGGAGCGGAGTCCGTTGGAGCGGCCTCCAGAATATTCATCGCCGTAAACGCAAGCACGGCGAAACAAATTATCGCGACACTAAACATGTTCGTAATTGAGTTCTCTATAGCAAATGTAGACAGAATCATCGCGAAGAACCGAGGATAAAAATTGTGGATAAGCTCTATAATATACTACGCAGAGGAAAAATTATTTGAACTTTTCTAAAGAATCGCGACAACTCAGTGAATCACGCCACTTATTTTAGACATTTCCGTCTCGGGATAGAACCCTTCCTCTGAAAGCTCTTGCATTTTGTATTTCAGCCCTGGGGTTATATTGATTTAGAGTAATAATTCAACTATGCCTCGCTTAGACGCATTGTTCGCAATCATATGACTCAGAATCACTCAGGAAGCGTCTCAATGAAGATCCATCTTGACTTCACATGCAGCATATTTGCCAGCTCTTGGATAAGTCGAAAACTGACACCCTTGAAAATTATTGGCATTTTTCGTAGTCAATGAAAAGTCGTATCCACATGAGTACAGTATATAGCATTGACTGGAAAAAATGTGTACACATTTTGAAAAACTAAATTTCCTGACACTGACAATTTTTTCATCGGGATTTTCCACCAGACTCGCGCAGGGAACTAAATCATGACTGGGTTGGGTACAAGCACATGATCAGCCCGGTAACATCATGAATTTCCGCTGAATGGACCGCAAATGTAGCTCCTCATATTTTTACAAGGTCGTCAGTTACATATATTCACGGCAACGCCTTTTATTCCCTGGAAGCCATTCATTCGAGCACCGGTCATCAAACCCCCGTTCATTCGTTCACACAGGTGTTCGAGTCGAGAGGATCGGGAGAGAATAAGTTGAGCAAAATTTATACGTACAGTACAGGCAATCGAATAATTTCGATTTTCCAAAAAAAAAAATAATTCATCGGGCTCGATACGTATATCAATCCAAGCTGAGTTTTAGCCGCTCTGTTTTATTCCATCTCGAGCAAACGAGGTCTTTTGTAGTTTCAAATGCGAGAGAGGCAGTTATTAAAACGCAAATTGTATCCATTTCTTTTCGTCTATGATCGTGAACGGCAGGATTCGGAAAACCTCGTTTTGACGCACAAATAACCGAGTAGAGCCCACGATTTAACCCGATTTTAGAGTCAAACGGAAGGGAGTTCAACGAGCGNAACTGGCTGTGGACACACTAAGCAGCAGCCACTTACGGGAGAAACAAATTTAACCGGAATTGGACAGTGACTCTCAGTACCGGATGCTGCACATTGATCACTATCGCCGGCTGCAACCGAAAATTGAGGGGCGTTGGCACACAGAATTCTACACGGACAGAACTTTTATTTTACGTCGTGCGGGGATAGGGTGACGGCGGTCACGGCAGGTGATCATCACGCTTTTGCAAATACAGTGAATTCACGCTCGCAAGTGGCCTGATTTCAGTTCACCCGTGTTTCATTCATCTTTGCTTGGTCATATGCCATCAACGAGTTTATTACAAATATTGACATGATTTTACCTACGTATATATAGAAACGAAGGTAAAACACCGTGCTATGTTCCGAAAAAAAGGGACAATTCCAGTTCCAGCACCAGTTGACCACAAAAAGATGGACGTGAGATAAATGGCCATGGTTCGGAAGTTTTTCCAAAATAGTAACCTGCTACAGTACCATAGTAGGTTCTTTGAGTACCCAGGGTTCCGTGTCAACACCTCAAAACAAACGCTTAATTGATAGCAATTTTTGAGCGAACTTCTGGTTTTTCATTTTGTTTCCAGATAAACCGATTATGGGCATAATCAACACATGAATACCGAAGAACAGAATTCTTCTATACCATTGCATCGTAATAACCAGGTCGATCATCCAGCCTGAAACATCAGATCACAGAAGCTTTGGTAAACACTCAAAATACTGTATTAAATTCAGTGCAATCAATTAAATTACTGCAATAATCATCCAAGATTGAAACATAAACCTTATACTTCCTCAAAGTCAAGAATAAAACTTTTTCTCTATTTCGTAAGCCAAGAAAGCAAAAATTGTCAGGAAAACTGGAAAAGGACAACGATTTCTGTATAAAAATCAAGTTCGTCTTGAAAGATGAAGTCCCTAGATGGCCTAGATTCCCTATAATACAGAAAGCAAAAAAAAAATGACGATCAGTCGTAGATTTCCATGATCAGCACTACTCCCGATTTCATTTTCAAAACGGAGTGGAAAAATGTCAATCCACGTTTTTCCGTTCACTGAATCCGTTCACCGAAACAAGTCTGTCGCACAGCAAAATCAACGTGTACAATATTTTCCGTAAAATATTAATGGTTAAAAAAATATTCTCTACTCGCAGTTTCATTTCATACAGCTTTAAGTAAAGGAATTCGAAAGGATCAATTTGAAAATAAAGGAACTCGAAAAATAATGAACTCTGATCCAGCCAATGAGACCAACGATTGACAGCATGATTTTCCACTGCAGTGTTGAACTACACATCCTTCCAAACCTAAAAGTTCCTATGCATGTTCGTTGAAGCTATCACGACAAAACTTGCACCTTAGTAGGTTGACTTATAGATACATACCTTCGACGAATATTTCCTTTAAACAAAACGCGCGAGAAACTTTGAGAAACAAGAATTATTCCAAAAGTAATTAATAAATGGCTAAATTTGCAAGCACAGCGTTGACTGTATTTCAACCACTGCGACGGTAACGCTGCTACCGAACATCAGACTACTCTTGAACGATGAGCTTCCCAGAGAAACAAGACACAGAAAGAAAAGAGTGCCACAGTACAACGGTCTGTCCGATCAGAATAAACAAAAATAAATCAAGCAGTGCAATAAACTGCTTATAGTTTCATTTAATAGCACGGACAGCACCCTTGAGTCCTTCTAGAACTTCTTTTCCAACTGGAATAATATCGCTTGCCGGAGAAATAAAGCCGTAAGAGTTCAGCAGATCGAACTGTTTTGGAGGCAATTCTACAGCTAGTGAGGTGTGTATTCCGAGCGATTTTGCCCAGTCGTCGCTCGTACCTGAAGCGGGATAAAGCAGCCAAGCTGGAAAATGCATAAAAGGACGTAGATTCAGTCAAATAGAACTCACGCTCTCGCATGCTCATTTTAGTCTCACCTGTGGCTCCATATTTATATTTCCGATTATTCGGCTTTTTAGCAGAGGCTGAAAATCCACTCGCAACTTTTTTCATGGTCAAAAAATCACTGGGTAGCTTGTAAGTATTACCGTATGGAATCAAGACAACTTGAGAATAACTGTGAACGGATAGGTAAAACTTCAGTCGGCTTTGAACGGCGGTCACTGCATCTCGAATCGCTTGCGTTTCCGGTTCAGAAAATGCTTCGGTTCCAGCGTAAGTTTCGTCACACGTATCGGTTGTGGTTGCTCCTTTTCCGCCCCAACCATATCCAAAATTTCTGTTTAGATCCACACCTGATGCAAATCGAACATAATTTTTGAGAGCTATATCATAATTTTTTATTCAACACTACCGAATGTAGAAGGCGCTAAATTCAGATAGAAATGACTACAATTTTTTTCATTCATCACTTGTAAAAATCCCACATTTCTACACGAAAGGCTGAGCTAAAATTAATGAAAAAAACATATAAAACAAGTTTGAAGGACACGAAATGAGACTTTCCAGAAGAGTCAACTCCGAAAGCCGATTCCCTGGAGAGCTCAACAGGGCAGAAAATTTTCTGGCTATTTTTCACACCGACTACATCCGTATGAATATACTGTAATTCAGTGAACAACTGAACACAATTAATCATCAATTGCGCGAAAGTCTATGACCACTTTCATTCGCGGCGTAGAACGGTAGTGATGAATCATAAAAGTTGTAATCGTCATCCAGTTTAAGAGGTGAATCTGATTGATGCAAACTGAATTATTTGAAACCACACTTTAGTACAGGATTCATTTTCGCGCTCGGAAAGTATCTTATAAGTACTGTACTGTAATATTGAACACGGGAACTCACCAACACAGCCACTCGATGGAACGCGTCGGTTTTTGCGCCACAATCTGTCCGTAGAGTGACTATAGTCATAGCCATCAGGATTCGAAATCGGTACAATGCGCCAATCGAAACGCGACAGATCGCTGTTGGCCGAGCCGGTCAGCAGAATTTGTTCCATTGCATACATCACGCTGGCGGGACTGATCCACTCTCGGGCATGAATTCCTATCCACATCGTAATCGACGCATAATTTTAAAGATACAGTAATTCACATCGTTCAACGCAGTTCGGCTTCAACTAACCAGCTTCGATGAAGACGATGGGCTTAGAACTCGCACTCGATACTCCATCAAAGTCAATCGACATCATCTGAATCAACTTCCCTTCAACCGAAGTACCGATTGTAGACACGCTGGAGATTGTTGGATACTGGGACTGCAACTGCGTCATTCTGGCATAAATATCCGTTGAAGGATAGAAATTTTCATACGAGAAAGCTTTCACTGGTCTTCCGAACGCAGGTAAAAATCCAATTCCAACTTCCGACACAGATCTCCGTATGAGACCTCCGATGTCATCATGCGCAATCCGCAATGTTAGGATCTGGGATGAAAACAAGGTCAAAGTTAAAAATGAAGAACAGGCCATGAAATACAAGATATTCTACTGACATGATTCCTCAACTTCGCAACCAGACGATCATATTGGATGGGCGACACTAGAATTTCGGTCACTTGAAAAAGTTGTCCACGTCCCAACCAGAAGTCCAGATTTTCTTCTTGCCGAAGTATCTGTAATCTCGCAACTTGATTGAATGTATACGGTATCACACTAATGAGCTTGTAGCCGTCGTAGCTTTTCAACCTTTGGATCGGTAATGCTTCACATAAAAACATTGTCGAAAATATGAATGGAATAACGCGTATCCATCTGTTAAATCCGCCAGGCAAAAATTCACGGGTAAACATTTTCATGAACATCCCTCAACGGAGGTTAACGTCAAGTTCTTATGTAGAACTTCGAACTCTTGTCCAAGAAATGAACAAACAAAAAAAATCACTTCGTTGCTGACGTCTTACGGAGTGCGCTCCGTTTCCCCGTCACAACGAACTTGACAAAAAAGCAGAAAAAAAAATAAATTCACGCAACGCTTCACATGAGATTTTGAAAAAATACCTGACGTTGTCGACAGCCGGTGTTCTATGAAGCCCTGAATTCTTGAAAAACGGCAATGGAGTCTCCGTTGAAATTTCACGCGAGCAACGTCGTCAGCGAACCGTGAAAAAATTGGTTCTATTTGTCATTTTATTGATATTAAATTGCAAAATCGGATTCCCAAGCAGACGTGTGTTGCATTTCAATCAGCGTGTATTTTATGCTGGTTTCAAGCATCACACGGCTCGCGATCGATATAAAAAAGTCATCAAGAAATCATACGTAGAAAAAAAAGACTTTTCGCGAAATGCGGCGAAGTATGAAAACTCAGTTCACGAAAGAAGTCGCAGCAACTCCCGTTTAGAACTTTCGCATGCTTGCAGCTTGCCCGAACTAAGCAAATTTGAATTATATTCATCAATGTACACAGACTGAAAGGAGTACTCTATTGATTCTCACCCTTCCAAGGAGAATCGCAGAAGATTCTTCAACGATGATGGAAAGTAATTTTCTCTAGCGACCAACTGCAACGCAATCAACATTCCATCGGGTCTCCATTGCATTTTCCAAGTCTTGCTCTCTGCCTGAAATTCGATGAACTGCTTACAATACATGTTCAAGACGCACACGCTTGAAGTCTCACTTTTATGAGGCCCAGAACGACGAGAACATGATTTTGCAACAGTTCCACCTGGCGGCCGTCGTCGCCAGACGCGTCACCGCTAGAGCCCACTGGTCGAAAAATTTTGGCGAACAACTCCTTAATGATCGACGAAACAAACTGGCCTTCGGACGATTTCAAATCACCCAAATCCGGGAGAACATCCGCTATTCGAGCGATTAACTCTACGTCACGTTCAGCAGTATCCACAAGAGGAAACGCATCCTAAAAATATCGAACATGCATTAATGTTATCAGTGGAAACGTAAATTTTAAAATGCACACTGAATCATACCTCCATGCCCAGAAATAATGAAGGTACTGGTGAATGTCCTAATTTCCGCAAGCCAGAAACGCACGGCTTTAGAACAACTTCTTTGGCAAGAATCTGTGAACATTGTACATAAATGAAGAGGAATCAAACGAAGTGATGAGATAAAAAGTTCGCAAACCGTTTTGCCGCTTGGACCGATGAATGAAACTGAGGTTTCCTCGTCCTCTTCACCTCCGTTTGCCGCCTGATCGTTCTCACTCTCATCGTCTGAATCTGGCTCAACATTTTCTCTAGAGAGAAGAATATTTTCACAAATTAGGTCTAGTCGATACGAAATCACTACATTATTCAGGAGGAAAATTGGGATTGCAGAATGACCTGACTCACCCCATGGGTTCAAAGCAGTGTTCCACGCCAACTTCGGAAACGCGAGACATAACCTCCTCCGCGCCTGTATCACCGAACCAGTTAAGATCCAAATTGACATTTTTCAAAGACTCTGCATGCTGCCGCAAGCTCTCCACGATTTTCAGTCCACCAGGCAACCTAATCTCATTTGATGAAACGTTCAACACCTTGATAGCCAATGAAAGAAACACATAACCACATTAACACCAATATTTTCTTTGTACTACTGTATAATCAAAACAAGGCCATTCACCTTCAACTTCGATGGTGTATCTTGAAGTGCATCAGCTAAGTGGTTCGCTCCCGTCGTTTTCAATAAACCATCCCCAAGATTGAGCTCTTCCAGATGTTCAAGCTTTCGAAGCAACGTTGCCACGCATTTCGCTCCTACTGCCTTGACAGTATTATCCTCCAAATTGAGTATTCGTAAGTTGGGGTTTTTTTCAAGCGCATTGCACAGATTCTGAATACCGTCCGGGAAAATGCCATTTTGTGGCACCGACAATTCTTGCAAAGTTCCCATTTTCTAAGCGAAAACGCAAGCGAATGAACAAGACTTGGTTCACGCTCGAGTGAACCAAGAAAAACTTACGGCAAATACTTCGGAGAAAAGTTTGGCACCGGTATTTTCTAATCGACTGCGACCAGCAATGAACACGGTTAATCCAACAGGTCTTCCTTCAGAACTGCTGGCGTTGTACAGGTCCAATAAGGCTTCAGCAACCATCTGAAAATATACACGGTATTCATCGGTATCGCATTTGAAAGAAAATGTAAGATCGAACCCACCGTGGATCCCGTCGGACCCAGTCCCGTGTTGTTCAAGCGGAGCTCCTTCAGTGTATAGCACACTTGACTCCGTAGAATCGGGCACAATCCCTCTGAGCCGATTGGTCCAATAGCATTATCACTTAAATTGAGTTCCACTAAGTGAGAACCAGCTAGGTCCAAGCCAGCGCCGAAGAACCTCTTACCAGAAAAAAAAAAAAACGCCAGTGATACACAATTCTTGAAAATTTTTTCTTTGCATATTTACCAGGCACTGTGGAATTTCTTGCTTCAATCTTCCCGTAAACATATCTTGGAACTGCATTCTTTGTAATTCAGATTTCGATTCCAAAGCTTTGGCAATTTCTTTGGCGGCATCTGGTCCCACTGTACAACCTTGCAAGCACAGAATTTCAAGGGGATTTGCCGCAAGGATCTTTTCGGCAACTGGCCTGGCTACAAGCGTGGGAAATTGAGAAGTCAATGAGAAAAACCTCGGAATTAGGAGGGGAGTTGCACGAGCCACTTACCATCGACATCACTGTTGAGTTTAAGAGCTTGTCCAAAAAAGGAGAGCGTCTTTGACTCTGCGACATACTCGGACATGCTTCAAAATTTACCAGAGATTCCAACTTTTCAAGCCTGCAATATTTCGACGACACAAACGCAAAAGATGTTTTTCAGCATTCCTCCTTGATTTGCAGCCAGATTTAAAAGATAATGGGGGTACAGAACGAATGCAAAACTTGTCATACAAATACTCCATGTTCATACGAACAAAAGCAACATAACAATTACACCGAAAGAATTGCCTGAAACGTCGCGAACAGGAGAAGCATCCAACAGTCTACAGTAATGATTAGAAAAGTTATTTACACCCGAAACCGAATTTTTTCGCCATAATTATTTGTTGAGACCAAGGAGATGTTCCAATTCAGCACGCTTCTGTTGAATTTTGGCATAAAAATATCGGGAAACTGCTTCGGGCATCCACGGCTGATGATAAAATTCCGCGTGGCGCTCTTCTTCGGGATTTCCGGTCACGTCAAGCATTGTCTGAAAAGTTTTTTTTTTTAATACAAAGATTTAAGAAAAAAGCGCAATTTCTCTTTACCTTCAAATCTCGGTTTTGAGAAACCAGCCATTTTTGGATGAACTGCTGAGGGTCTCTGGAGAAGCTGAGGAAGAACTCTCTACTTATCTTCATTTGATTGATGCTTTCCACAGTATCATGAATTTTATTATCCAAATTCTGCGGGGAAAAATCAGATCAAAGCTATTGCATAAGTTTTAGAAAGCTTAAACCGACCTGAATTTCTTGCTGAGATGCCGTCGAAAGTAGAAAATTATTCATCTGAGCCTTGAGATTGTCGTCCACTTCAACATCTATGTCGTAACACGCAGTTTTCTTCGGTTCTGGCCCATCCACACTATACGAACGGATGATCACCAACATCAGGCATTTCCATATTCAACAGCATTGGAATTAATCCACTCAATATGTCCGAAAATAGCTCACCAGATTAAATGTTGAATAACGATTGGGTCAGGAGGGTGCAATAAGTGCTGCAATCGCTGTGGAATCTCCGAAAACTTCATTCGTTGAGTTCCGAAAATTTGCTCCAGAAATCGATTACAACGAATCCATTCCCGTTCATTTGGATCCTATAAATATTCTTGTCACTAACATCGATGATAAATACGACTTCGGGTACTCACCTGCAATTTATGGGTTTTAACATACTGCCACAATGCGTTGATGATAGCGGGACGCGTTTGAGTGTGAACACCCAGAAGAGAGGCCAACCTTCTGTCTAACTTGAACTGCAGCGGCTGGAAATCCAGCAGAAGCAGTATCGTGCATCTTACGTTCTTGTCCCCTGGGCGCTTAACTTGGAAACCATCGGTTTCCTGAGTAGTCGCAATTCGATGCCATTCAACGAGGTGGTTATCGGGGCCGTACAGGTCCTTGTCAAGCTCGATTACTAGGCTCTTGAAGAACGATGAAAACTTCCTTTTGACCTTGCTTGGATCCACTTTCCCATCTTCCAGTAACTTTCCCTCAACACGCAATTCCCAAGATGCCACTGATCCGCCTGGTCCAGTTATTGGAGCCCCCTGAACACCATTCTCAGCATCGGACGGATCCCTTGCCGGATAGAACGTGTTGGAAATAAAAACCCGCAATTTGCGTTTCTGCTTCATGGGGCGCTTCAACGCTTCCTTAAATTAAATGATTCAATGAGCAAGGAGTCTAGCATTTTTTCAATTCCAACGATATTACCTGGATGTCCAAACGTTTCCTCATAATTGTGGCATCGAGCTTCCTTTCAAATGCCAAGAGATCCATGTATGCCTGAGATTCGGGAACCAAGTCTCGAACTTTCTGCGGTAAAATTTTATCAGCGAGTTTCTTTTTCTTCTTGGCAGGAGGACCGAACCTGAAACGCGAGAAAACAATGAATCAGGCGAAGTTTTACAACCAACGATTACGACGAACTAACGTCTTCTGAAGCTGCTGGAAAGCATTTCCACCACGCTGATCCATCGGACGCTTCACAGAACCGGATGCCATCGGTCGGATGCCTTGCGGAGAACCCGGAAAAGGAGCTGGCTGCCTGGGTGACATCATCGAAGCGTTCATCACGGGTCCCGGAGAATTGGTCGGATACGCCGGACGCTGAACCTGAACAAATTCATTAGTCCTGAACATCATTAGAACCAATACGGCCAGTGCGATTTACCTGTTGATGGTAGGGTGAAGATACATGCGGACCAGTTGGAGGGTTAGGATAAGGCCTTTGCGGCGTAACAAACCGCGGGGTAGGGGTACTTCCGCCAAGGTTTGGGTTATACGGCCCTTGAGAAGCACCGGGCTGAGTCGGACCGGGGGGTGGTCCACCGACCATACCTGGGTGCCTGATCATCACTACGCCTTTCTTTGACTTCTGATTCAAAGAAGCAGCGAATTAACGAACGCTTTGTAAAGACCACGCATCCGCGAATGACTAAATTCAGCGGCCGAGAAAGCAACGGTATAGCCCTATACAACTTGAATAATTCAAAATGAGAACAACGAAACGGGGCATAATTCGGTAGATCGCCAAAAATCTAGTTCCTTCCCCAGGCATTCAGTGTTCCGCGGTTTTCAAGGCTCATGAAAATAGCACTTAAGAGCACGAATAGAACGAAAGAAGTTAGCCGTTTGACAGCTCTATTCAAATCACGCAAAACTTAGGAGATTAGAAAACTTGTAATGCATGTCCTCGGGATTGAAGCCAGCTCAGTGGGTAGGAGGCCGATATCCGCCTCCGAAAGCGTTGGGACATGGGCCCACGATCTACAAGCGAGCAGATGAGGTTGAGTGCAAATAGTGGTGGAACATTGAACAACAAAGCTTATCATATTTTGTTTACTAATAGGTGTCAGTCTTTACCCGTACCACTTCTGCTATAGTGATTCTGGAATCGGCATCCATGCAGTGTTGGACGCGTGTAAATGGATTACTTCGCTATATACACTAAGTTTTTAATTATTGAAAGTACAGTACAACGCGAATTTCTATCCGCGATAACCTTATGCATCAGGACTGTACCTAAGATGTGTACAGCATAATAAGCTCAAAATAATAAAGAAGTCTTCTCCAGCTAGTCTATGGTGCTGTGTATAATAATGTATGCAATACTACAGTATATATGCCCAGCGGCCAGCCATCATATGTACATCAGCAGAGGAGCAGCAGTTAGTAATACGCATACTGTATAGCCATATACCCCTTAACTAACCCATATATACAATACAGTACTGTACAATACAGAATTAAAAGCTTGGTATACGACTACATACAGTATATTGCTCTGTAGTGCAGCAGAGCAGTGGTGCTTGAAATAGGATTGTCTTTAAATACTTTAATTATTTCAAAGCACTTCATTCAGAATTTCAAATTTTATATGTATACAGAACTGTATGTGTAGTTATATACTCATAGGTATACGTATACATAGTACTGTATATGCCAGCAATAATGTGGACCGAAGTTCAATAGTAAGCGGTGAGAATGTCTAAAACGTTAAAGATAACATCCTAGCTGTTATCGTCCTCGACATAAATGTCAAATTATTAGACTTCGCGTTCATAATTGAACTGCGGTCATTCCAGCATGCATGACTTGATTCCTCTGCAATAATTTTAAAAATGCTCAGGAGAAAATTTGCAATTGCTTGCAGACTGGGATGCAAGTGTATACAACTTCAATCATTTTTTGGCTTTCAATAGCACAAAAAAATTAAAAGTCACTTGCAAAATTTTAAAACATATTTTAATTCCTTACTGATCACATCGTATTACCACTGAGACAATCAGATTTCAGAAATACACATCACATTATATTTAAATCAGATTATATTTGACATTTTTACCGGTTCGATTCAAATGTTAAAAAAATAAATCATGACTTCTACGTTTTTGGTTTTTGTTCCACACTTTTTTAGTATTTAGGAAAGTTATTTTCCACATCCAGCTACATTCTTACTCGTCTAGCGCTTTTTTATGTGAAAAATTTGTTTCGATGTCAGGATATTCTGTGTGTTGATGTGCTCTCATGAAATTTCTGTGGGCCGTATGTATTGGGCACACCTGGTATATAATGTAGTCTTTGTAGAGAATAGATGTTTAAAAAAAAATACTTTGGCTTTTCATCGCCATAACATATCGATCTGATAATTCTTTTTTGGCGATAGATACGTTCACTGTTCAGAAGCTCATATGGGATAATTCGGCTTATGGGGAATAAGCCTCTCCAGAAAATTCTGTTCTGTATACGAATACTGTACCTCTATACTGTACGTATATGGCTTCGGAAACATAATCGAGATGAAGACAAAGGAATTTCTCGATAGGATCAATTCTTTATCATAAATGCACACGGAGTGAGCGAAACAATATGGAGAATAAGGGTTCGTTGATTTGAAATAATATGACCTCAATTAACAGCAGCATCTGAATTTTTTTTAAATTCATACTGTACTGTATTTCTACGCTTGCTTTGATTAATCAAACTAGCTTGGCTGAAGGTTTTTTTCATACAAGATAAATATTATAAAATCTTGACCAAAACGTGCGTTAATTGAAGGCGACTGAGAGCTGCTGCTCATGAATTCGCCCACTTCCGACTTCATCAAATTCGTAGATTAATGACTTCTTGTTTAACCAGCAATGCTTCACTTCCTTTTTCTTCGTCGCCATGGTGATGCACACTAGCTGGTCGACTCTGCAAATTGACTCGAAAGGACGTTTTGCGGGGTTTATACACAGTATACTGTACCTCAACAATGCGGATAAGGCACGTTTCGAATATCACTTCCTTACACCGGCCTTCGAGCTCGTTGATAAGGGTGCATTTCTTGATCTACGACCTTGCTGCTTGATGCGAATTTCGCTACGCAAAAATCCGCAGACTTTTCTTTATTCAGCGGGATTGAAGGCCAAGGGCTATTCCTGGTGTCACATTCCGCATTCAACGATAGGTGCGAGATTTTGGGTCCGGTTGGATGTGACATTTCCTTGAAAATAACGCCTGTGCGTCAAACATTAGAAACGAGGTCATCTGATCATCAACAAGGACGACAGAGGTTTTGGGAGGTTTCGAAATGTCGCCTATCGCAAGAGAAGTACCACGCAATCACTGAACTTTCAAGGCATTTCATACTGCCTTGTAAATTATAGTTACAGTATACAGTACTGTAAAGTGAGCTGCAATGCATTATTCCTCGATAAAAAAAAAATACTGCATTTACTGAAGTACCAGCATGGACCCTAAATAATTAACGCATGCACCTCCAATTTATATTTTCTGGCCATTTAAAAAAATAAAAATCTATTGCCAAAAATAAGACGCACTCCCTATTTTTTTACTCAAATTTTTAAAATAAAAAATCAAATCTATAATTTTTTTTAATTTTGACGTGTTTTGAACATAATTCTACCTAAATTCTATTTTAAAATTTCTGTTTCTCGAATAACGTTGTTTTAAACAACAACTCCCCTCAAGTAACTAAGTTTGAGGTGACCCAAACTTCAAAAAAGTTCGAAACCTTTTAAACCCAGTCACGTATGACACGCACATTTCTTTTTTTCATCTTAATTTAAACAAAGGTATTCGGTATGAAAAAATGAACATTGGAGCTACGATAGTGCGTTGCATGGAATAGCCTGCATCACATAAAAAAAAAGTATGCTTATTTTTACTCAGGGTAATTTGGACGTTGTTTATCATCAGTATTATTTCAGCTAGTGAACGACCCTTTGCCAGGTTGTGTCTTTCTTTTTAGGGAAAAATATGAAATTATTTTGGTGTGGTTTGAGTGCAGTAATTATTTTATTTTGCTTTTTTGTTTCGTGCCTATTTGATATGCGGCTAACCGCAAAATATGCGACCAAGCATTTATATGTGGCTGACCGCTCATTTCACTGAACTGCAGCGGGTGACGGACCTTGAAAAAATACTTCAAATTCTATCCAACTGCTATGAAGACTTAGCTTTTCGTCTTTGAACTATAGTATTCAGATGCTTATACGCAATCCCAAATCATGCATCAAACAAATGCATGAAGACTGCACTGTATAAACAAAGGAAGAGCAACAAAAAGCCACGTGGATTTTGAAGAGTATTTATCAACAGTTGAATAAGCAGTGATGACATCGATATAAAGGCAGATAGAATGAAATTGATTTTACATTTTTTGACGTTGAATTCCAAATTTAAATTTTCACAATTCGTGAAAATTCAACAATAAAAATCGATGGAAACTGGGGTCCGCATCTAATATGGAGAAAAATGCGTTTCCGAAACTGATTTCCCAAAGTTAAAAAATAAGTTCGTTCACTGTTCCTAATGTTTATTTATTTTGATCTCAGTACTAAACATCCCAACATTTCCTATTTTATTCCTTGTAGTGTCGTGCGAATCAAAGAAACTCAATATTTTCTCACACTTCTTTTAGTAAGCGTGTAACATCGGAAAAGCATTAAAAAAGCAACCAATTAAGCGGTAAACTTTACAATTACATCATGGCAGAAAATTGAAAATATTTTTGCATCAAGTGCCGAATTTCATAAAATTTGGAGGTTTTTTTATTGTATGCTGCTCATAAGGGAATGTATAGAAAAATTAATTGTGTGAGTGCGTGGTGGTTTCACTGCTAAATGTGTCTCCGAAAATTTTATTCTATGAAAGTTTTGACGCAAAGCTTTTGCCAAAAAACTGTACAATCGATTAACAAATACAATCTACCCAGCTCTCCATTCGGTACTTTTTGAGAGGCATGAATGTCAGCAGCAGGGACGCTGGCAAGCGGTAAATAAAGCTTGTATATAAATCAATCAAGAAATTCAAAGTTTCCAGATTTCAATTATGTAAATTCATTTTTCAATACAAAAAAAGACGACAGCATTAAGCGCAACAGTTTAGAAATAGAACCCTGCTGTGGTTTGCAGAAAATTCCAGCAAAAAAAAAAGTTCTGAAATGAAAAGTTTGGAGTCATCTCCTACACGGAGTAACACAAGGGAACAAAGGAGCATAGTCAACCTAGAAAAATAACGTTATTCCGTCCAATGCAGGTAAATTTAGCCCAGAAACGACGAGGCCCCCAGGGCATTCCAAATGGTACAGCGAGGTGGACTGTTGCCCGATTTGCTGCGAAGAAAAATCCCTGGAGGAGGCTTCTCGAAATTCTTTCCTGTCAACTGGAAAATGGAATAAAAATCCAGTGTGATCATTATATCCAGGACCAAAACTATATTAAATATAAAAAAAGGAACCCTCAGGGCACCATCAGGCCACTGAACAGGGCCAAAAATACAAAGAGCTTGGAAATAGATGCAGCTTGGTTCACATAGAGAGAACTCTCCAGGGGTTGCATCGAGGACATCTACGACTTAGCAGCTGTATTATCTCAGGTTAAGGGTTTCTCGCAAATATGCATGGAAAAAAGCATTAGAAAAGTAATGGTTCCGAATAACAGCCGTTGAGCCCTTTACCAAAACAGCGTGTTTCTCTATCAAATACTGTAAATGCAAAAACAAGGTGGATTTTCACTCAAGATACTCTCTTGTGTTATCTTTGATCTATCTATTTTAGCATATGAATATTTTACCAAGCACTCGTTCCTTATTTTTTTTCGACACGGAAATTTCCAAGACATTTCACAGATGGACATGGATGCGATTTTTGTTGCATTTCAGTTCAATATGTTCACCTCGAAAAATTCTTTAGCTTCTTCGTCCTTCGCACATTTTATCTCTGGAATGGCTGTACAAAATCACACGTGTT